CCTGGATGCTGTCATAGGATGGCCAGATTCGCTACTCCAGTGTGCAAACAGGCATTTAGTCTAGAAACCTATCTTATTTTGTATGTATGAGTGCAAAGTTAACAGACCAAATACAGAAAATGTTTCCCATTAGAAGGGGTGAGGGAATTCAGATGTGTTAACTGAGCTCAATATACATTGTTCCCCAAGTGCTTTTGCATAAGCTGAGGACATTTCATTTTTTTCCTGCAAGGGGAGTACAGAGAAAAATTCAGTATGCACAAACAAAAATGTAAGCTTGCTCACCTGACTTAAAAATTGCTGCCTCAATGACAGTAGCTATTTACAAGACAGCAAGGTGATGAATGTTTGATAAATCATACATTTACAACACATCTTAAAAAGAAGTGAAAAAGCTGATATGATTATTTAATGATTGAATGATGTGGCATCCTGGTTAGCCAGATTAAATCGTTTGATCATTAAAGCAAATCTGGAGTAATCATATAACGAGGACCCCAATGAAGAGCCAGTCCAGAGATCCACAACTGATCCTAAACCTGATGGATCCACAGCCCATCTTATCTTTAATATACATGTTTGTGACACTGTATTTCTTACTTTCTTAGTTAGTACTTTTTTATTTAAATTGTGGAGACAGGCTTTTAACCGGGTGCCAGTAGGAAGGAGGATGCCATTGGTCCAACCCTGTGTGAGACCTGACACAGGCCTGATCGTTCTTGAAAACTCACCTGAGCTGCCCATTGCAAACAGAGGTTCTGTCATAGCTCTCCTCTTAGGTGCCCCATCTATAATCCCGCTCAAACTAGCATGCTAATCAGGAAAAAGCAACCATAGTGCATATGATAGGGAGAGAAACAAAGCTCCTGTCGTGGTTTAATAAGAGGAGGAATGGACAAATATGTCAAGTTTGGTTACTTTTAGTTCATTTTTCTAGTTTTAAATTTGATGTTGGTAGGGTTCATGCCTTACGTGCCAAAGATCCCAGATCTAATCTTGTCAAAAAAAAAAAAAAAAAAGTGAGGTAATGTTATTGAGTGGAAAAAAACCTCTGTTTGGGACTAAGGAACAGTGATACAGAACTGGATTTCAGGTTGTCTGTTTGTTCATAAGTGTGAAAAAAACTAGATTCAGATTCTGAGATAAAGCAAGCAACATTTTCTCCCAGCAAATAACTTTTCTCCTGTACCAAACCAGATGGGCTATAGCCTAAAAGTAAAATCTAGCTTTATATGTTCAAAAACTGAGGTACAAAATGGAAGGTACACAGTCTTTATGCTCAGCACTGTGCTAAGGTCCCTATGGAAAAACCATTATGGGGGAAGATTAATCCTGTGAAATGCCCAAGGTGATTATACTTATCTTGTATACACTGAAGACAAATCGTCCACCAATACACCATCTATAAAATGGTCTTTATTTCCAATTGGATGTGCAAGGTCGTTAACATTGGAATGTCCAAGTTTCAGAAAAAAAGCTCTCTTATTTCAGTGATTCACCCAAAAGATCAAGGACCATGAACAATTCTGCCTCCCCAGTGGCAGCTTCACCTCTTTAATTGCTATCATCCCAGTAGGTTATCATTATTTCAGTGCTATATTATTAAATAGTACATGATGTACTCAGTCTTTTCCCTTTTTAATCAGCATATTTTATAGACTGGGGAAATATCTATTATTTAAAGAAAGGAAGGATGTTAACATCTAGGAGGCATCTGTCCAGTGAACTGAGGCAAGTGGATACTTTTATCATAAAACTGAGATGGAAACCTTTTCCTCTCAGCCATAGGAAACATGAACAAAGAGCTTTGTTAGTAAAACATCAGCACAGGCATTTATTATATGCTCAGCCTTCCTTATTCATGGGTTATTTCAGCCAGTGGTTTTCAACCTTTCCAAAGCTGGGTACCAGCAAAAACAGGAAAACACCTTGGGAACCACTGAGGCAGAAACAAAAAGCACCACACACACAATACAGTATTCTGTGTATTAACTTCCAAACACAATACCAAAAAAGAAAATTCTCCAAAACAACCAGAAACCGAGCAACAAAAAAATGCCTATGAAAGAACAAAATAACAAAATTGGCACAGCATGGACCCCAGCCAGCTCCTACCAACACATCTCTTCTCTCCCTGGCCCCCTGGTGACACCAGCCCCTCCCCCCCAGCACACACAAAAGCAATGCCAAATGAGGAAGAGGAGGTGGAGCACAGCCAGATCCCACACTGGTCCATGGCAAGCAAGATGTGACCGCCGCCCCCCCCCCCCCAGACCATCAGGAAATCTTCCGTGAACCAGCACCAGTCTGCGGGGCAGTGGTTGAAAACCACTGGTTTAGACAATATGCCCCTGAATTTCTGGTTCTCTCCCTCCCTGACTCCCTAAATATCACTTTCACACATGTTTCGTTTCATTTTGTTTTGTTTTTGGAAGGGCAAGAGAAATAAGTATTATTACAAGAGTGAAAGAAATTTTTTTCTGATTGTGCAATTTCATTATTCTGTGATAGCACAGCACCACCTAGAGGTTATATAGTGGAAAAGTCATTTGTAACTTTTGTGTACTCAGCATGAAAGCAGATGCCAAAGATGACTCAAGTCCTGTGTAGAAAGTTCAAGGAAGAAAGAAAATCAGATTCAAGAAAGGGAGAACAATTACTTGAACAGGATGTAGGCTGGGCAAAGACAGAAAAATCAATGAATCAAGTTTCAGAAACAACCAAACTGTTAGAAGCAGGACAGAGAGTGGATTTGGATCAGCTCACAGATCTCTGGGCAATTTATTATAGATCAGCAAGGATTTCTGACTCCTAGTCGTTTACCAAAAGCAGCAATAAAATTGTTCTCCTTTTTTCGCACTAAATTATACTGCTACAAAGAAAAATGCTGGGTCATAACCCAGAGGTCTGTAACAAGGAGTATATTTTTGTAGGGAAAGTGTATAAACTCTTCTGTTATTCAGAAGAAAAAAATCCCTGGGTACAGAATCTTTTAACTCTAAATGCATGCATGCCTTTTGCATTGTGCTCCAGTTGGTTGAGCTCCACCTTCAAATTAAGTCAGAAAAAGGGTTGGAAGCTGGTCCTTGGCATTGCCTTTTCGCATCTATTTTGCCCAAGTGACCACTGGAACAGTGGGAGTAGAACACTTTGAGATACCGCTCTTCTTACTCTCCCGCTTTGCTTCCTGTTACCTCTCTCAGAGAGACTGATACATCAGGGGTCTTTGCTTTGTGGTCACACCCTGTTCACTACCTGAACAGTCCTGTTGCTGCTCTTCCCATGCACTCACATTAGGTACATGGCTTTCTAGACAGAATCCAATGTTAGTCTTTCCTATCCAAGCATACCTTTCTTAATACTATGCTTAAGACCCCCCCCCTTTTTTTTAACTAAGCTACAGCCCCTGCCTGAGTCATTTTCCCACTAGGAAGCATCAAACATGGGTTTAAATGCACCAAAGGTGACTCTAATATGTTCACTCCCTTAGAAGAGAACTTCGGAGACCATAAGGATCAGGCCAAGTCCACCCAGTCCCTCATTCTGTGCACACTTCAGCCAAACAGGAGGAAACCCACTAGCACAGCAGGAGCCCAACAGCATCTTCCCAGCCTCTTGCCCCAGCAGATGAGATACACAAGCAAAGTTCTTTCAACTATACTCAAACACAAAGTGCCCACCACCACCAGCAGCCTGAAGTCTGCCCTCCTGTAATGCAAAGAAGTCAGGAGAATTGGAAAGAGCAAAGGAAGGTGGTTTCTAATAGCTCTGACTATTTGTCCATTTAGCCCAGCTTGTCCCATCTGACCGGCAGTAGTTCTTCAGGGTCTCAGACAGGGGCCCTTAACATCTCCTGCCACCTCATTCTTTTAACTGGAGATAGGATCTGGGAACGTCTGCATTCCAAGGATTATGTGCTCTACCTCTGAGTTACAGTCTGTCCTGTCACGGTGTTGCCAAAGCCTCTAGCAATGATGACAGCAGTCCGGTCAACATCACAGAAGGGCAGGGTGCACGGGAAGTGATGTGCCTTGATTGGTTGAGCTATTCTGATCCCAGAGATCAGAGCAGGCAGATGGGGATAGGAAGGCTGAAGTAAAACCAGGAGCTGGTATCTTGAGAAGGCAACAGACCAAATGTAAACAAAGACAACCTAGGAAATATGGTTACTGGGGGATTGGAGGGGAGGGCAATAGGGACGTGAGAACAAGCAAAACCCAAGTGTGTCCAAATCCTGTCTCAAAATTCATTCTCAGATTCTGAGTTTTATTTTTCTTTTTGCATGCATAAATCCCCAAATCTATGTATCTTTGTGTGCATCTCTGGAATATATGCATTCTTCTCCCATTGGCTAAAATGTAGTTGTGTACCATTTTCAAAAGTACATATTTTCATGTATTTTTAAAAAATGTCTGCATGAATATGAACATCCCCCCCTTTGGGTCTGCAAATGACAGTACAAACTCATAAACGTATGAAGTTTGACTGCAATTTGCATCTGAACTAAAATAGGTAAAAGGAGGATGGGTAAAACTTCATCAGAAATGAACTGAAATTAATTTCTCATATATCCGTGGGCAGTGGGTGGGTGGAATCAGTGGTTTAAAGACCTGGAATGGGAGCAAGGGAAGATGGAAGGAAGAAGGGAGTGCCACAGTGACAGGGCATACACATTTGAAAAATCAGTCACATATCTGGCATGTCATGAGCGGAGCCGGCTGGTGCCAGAGGTCAGACTAGATGGTCCGGGAGACCCCTTCTGACTCGCTCTGTTTCTATGTTTCTATATCTTGCTTGAGCAAAAGGCCATAGGTGAGAACTGGGAGCAGTGTGGGATAGCAGATCGCAGCAGCACTTTTGCATAGCTATGTTTCAGCGGGAAGCAGTCTGTCTGGGGACCCAACTACAGCATACTTAGTATAGTTGTCAATGCAGCCCCACCCACAATTGCCATGTTCTTGGTCAAAGCACTCTCCCCACTGGAGTTGAAATCCACTCACTGTTGAAGCCGCCATTGCTGCTAGTCTCTGCTGCTGCCACCTGGTGCTGAAATAGCCCTTCGGATGCGGCACTTCCTGACAGTGAATGGGTGAAGACAAGGAGGGGGGGGAGGAGAAAAACGACAAGGAGGAAAGGCGGGGGGGGGTATGTGGAGGAATGAAGCAGGGGACAAGAAGGGAAAGGGTGTGTCTTTAACTGCATCGTATGTCTTTTCACTGGCTGAAAAATTGCAACAGTGCAATGCATATTTCAGGCTTTGTAACAGGGTAGTCACCTATGATGTGCAAGAATTCCTCCAGGAGGCAGGTTGGAGAAAGCCTTTTCAAATGACATCATTTCTTGTTTTCCTTGTACATGTGCCATGAACAGTTAATGCAAAGATTTGCAGGGTGGGCAGCTAGAAAACATCTTGAGGACTTGTTTTCAATCTGGATATCATTTACAGTCAGGGTGGGATCTTTGTGATCTTCCCATTGGCACCTCCAATCCATTGTTCTTGCTTTTAACCTTTTCAGAAAAGGTATTTGGAAACCTGTCTGTTGTTTTCATATATAAAAGCTTTGCCTCGGACAATCTGACTGTAACTCCAACACAAATAAACTGTAAGTATGGGTAACCACATTTGCTCACCTGTAGGAATCATTACTAGTGATGAACACATGCCCTCTGCTCCATCTCTTTAGCATGCCACAGGCTTACTTGGCAAGTATTCTGGTCGTACCAAATTCTAGCTTAGCTAAAGGAATTACTGAAATTAATTCCAGAATTGGACGGTAAGCTTGCTGTACCTTTCACTGCCACCTCTTTTTTACCTGTATTTTTCCTCTCATCTCTTATTGATGTACATGTGTGCATTGATAAAATACTACAAAAAATCATCAACAATGGCATCAAGATACTTCTTCTCCAGTGAGGCTTATCACTGCATGGTGGTTGAAAAAAGCAAGCGAACAAACAAACCCCACACAAATGAACACATAAGAGAGAGGGGGAGATTTTGATGCAATCATACACACAATCATATCAAAATTACGCATTTTTTGAAATGTTCTATCCATGCACATGTGTGAATTGTTGCAGTAGGAAAAATTGCCAAGGAACTAAAGATCAAGGCAAACTGGGCATGAATACTGGTTGAACAGAATAACTAATAATCTTTTAACAGATATGACTTCTAAGAGTTGGTTCCAACCCAGAACTCAGAAATCCAAGTATATTGCCAGTTAAGGAGACTGTCAGAGCTATCCTTAACTGTTGTCTCTCCCCCAAACACCTGCAGCATTCTTATTATGATTCCTTCCTGCTGTTACAGAGAAGTGGCTGAAATATGCTCCTTAGGAGAAGAACCTGCTTGCTACCTTATATTGTAAAACAACATGCATAACCTGCTACTACATCTCCCACTAACACCCACAGCAAGAGCTACTGCCAACATCCTAGCAATGCGAATACCACTGAAATTATTTTGAATGTGAAACAGTAAACACACTTTGCTTATATTTGGAAGCCAAATGTTTATCTGAAAAATGTCTTGAAAATGGAATGAACACAAGTAGGCCAAGCCTAGGCCCATTCAGTTAAATGGTGAGGTATGTACAGGCTTAAATTTTGGAATAATTAGAACAACTGCAATGTGTAAATACTTAATTTATATGAAACACCCCCTTTTTAATGGAGGACTGAAGAATTCAGGGGTCACTTTTGTAGGTCCTCTGGGGAACCATGTGGGGAACCCTGCTTTAGGGAACAGCACAGGGAATGAGGAGAAGTCCTGCTGCATTAGAGCCACTGGCTAGATCCTTCAAGACAGCCGAGGCCTGCTTCAGTGTGGAGGGGACACTGGCTATAATGCCCTCTAGTTGCTTCTTTTCCCTGTTGGGGAGCATATATGGCAGTGGCTCTGAGCAGTGGTCTAGCTGCCATTTCAATTTCCCAGAATACTCCACAATGGCTCTATATTGGAGGCATTGTGGGAAATTGAAGTGGCCATTATACCCAGCCACCTAGCTCTCATTGGTTAGGAAGTCTGAAAGTCTAGCCAGGTATTAAAGGGGGACCAGGGCAGGAATCACCAATGGACACTGCCAAGGAAACTGGTAGACTTGACACTTGACCTGTCCCCATGCAAACAATTTACAGAAAAGGCAATCCAGTGTTGATTTACAGCCTACTTTGAGTAAATATGATGAAATGACTATAGCTTTAGACTATATAAAATTCAATGATCTCATACATTTTCTCTCTATAAGACAAGGCAGGAAAGAAAGAAAAAGAGAGAGGGAAGGGGGGAGAGAGAGGGAGAAGTGATGCTTTTTGGTTTGTTGTAGAAGGAGATATAAGACAATTCATTTAGTTCATTTTTGGACAGAATTTATTCAGTCCAAACATCCCAGGAAAGAACAAGTCTGCAATTTTCAAGCTTGTGATGTGAATCATGGAGCATTTAAAAGAAGAAAAGAAAAGCCCACTCTTTCCATGCAAATATCTTAATTACAGGAAGTTGAGAAGGACATTTGTATGTAAATGTGTGTCACTTTGTCTTCTGTATGCCTTTCTGAATGGCCCTTTGAGATGGGAAGCCTGCATGTTTTTACTAGTTAAGAAGCTTCTAACCCACTTGACAAGATATGCTGTGTGTGCTGATGTTGCATTTAAAGGGAAGACCACATTTACACATGATGCCATCTTTGTATCTATCATCCGTAAGCTTCTGGCTTCACAAGCTTCCAGGTTCCACCCTCATCCCCAGTCAACAAGGAGCTTGGGCAGAGCTAAGTTCACTTTCATAACAGCATCTTACAAGAATGCTATTGAGTTTTCCTTGCTCAGGCATTCATAACCCTTTCAGCCCGTGGCCAAATTCTATTTTGAAGACGGGCTTTGGGGGCACATTGCAGTGCATGGTGTGGTTGGGGCCAAGAGGAGACAAGGACAAAAACTCCTAATATACACACCCACACACATAATTTAAAGGCCTTACAGTTAGTAGCTGAGCCTTAGGAGAGACTTTAGAATGGGGGAAAACTGGGACTCAGTTTTGACTCTGGGTGTAAGATGAGGGGAAAGAGGTGTGACCTTCTAGAAACCCCAGAAGATCAGATTCGGCTTCAGGTCTGTGGATTTCACCCCTGCATTAGGTATAGAATGAATTAATTCCTACCCACCCCAGTTTGAATCCTCTATCACAGTGTTTGCAGAATAAGTGGGAGCCCATGAGATGTAGCGGTTAAGCTATTATGACCTATGAATATGGACCCTCTGTGAATCTGTTGCTGTTGTTATGCACTGTCAAAATGTCTTTGACTTACACTGACCCTAGGATCCTCCAAAATGTTTTGCACTTGACAGCCCTGCTCAGCTTTCATAAATTCAAGGTTGTGCCTTCCTTTATGGACCAACCTTTCCATCACAGTTGTCAACCCATTTCACAGTTGGTCTTTTCCTTTGTCTTCTGCCTTCAATGTTCCCTAGCACAATTGTCTTCTCCAGCAGTATTGCCTTTTCATAATGACTGAAGCATGACAGCTTCAGTTCCAGCATTTTTGCTTCTAGTAAAGATCTGGCTTGATTTGATTTAGGACCCACTTGCTTGTCTTTTCATCCATCCAGGGTATTTGCAAAACTCTCCTTGAACACCATGTTTCAAAGGAATCAATTTTCTCTCAGCTTTCTTTGTTGTCCATCTGTCACACCCATATGTAGCGATTAGAAGCACAGTGGTGTCTAGTCCTTTTTTAAAAAGCCATCTAAGCCAGCAGTTGCAAGAAGATCTGCATAATCCCCTGGCTGGACATAACATCAAGGGGCATTTTCCTTTCTGTCTCCTGAACATAACTGCAAATCAACTTCTATGGCTCACCAAGCTTTATGAGAAAGGAAGACAGATTTTCATCTTAGGCTTTCCACCCCATTTATAATTCTGTTTATAAAATCAGTCTAATGCTTCTCAGTCAAATGAATGCTTACATAGAAGTACATCTCACCCAATTCAGTGGGACTTAACCACAACTAAGTGCTAAGACTATGGCATGCCTAATGGCAAATTGCCCAACGATGCATTTTTACTGAGAAAGAAGCCTTGTGGAGTTCAGCTGGGCTACCTCCCAAATATAGAGGAATAGGGTTGTTCTGGCAGGTTTTCCACATACAGACAAGTGTGGAAAAAAGAACTTGAGATAAGAAATAAGCAAACAAGCTGCATGTGGAAGAAACTGATGGGGACAGATTCTTTCATCTGTCCTGAGCTCAGTCCTTCCCTTCTTGTCCTCGGCTCCCAAACACCAGCCAGCATCTTCACAATGCAGATCTCTATTGGCACTTCACAGCTACAAGACAAATTAATCCCAAAACCTCTTTAGAAAGCTGAAAGATAAGTCCCTGCAGATACTAAGAATGGTTGTTGAACTCAAATTGGGAACTTCTCCCAAAAAGTATTTACGATCCTCCTCTTCAGAAACCTAGTCCTGAGAACCCTGGGATGTCTGCCAGGAGTGGCAGTCAGGTTTACTCACTACACCATCCAGCCCCAAGGCTTGCCCTGCTTGGCTTTTAAAAACCTGGGGCCGAGTCCAGAGTATTCCACTAATCTGGTGCTTAATTAGGCTTCCACATCATATTTCCAGGCAAGTTCCTCATAATTAGAAATGGTGTGGCAGATGGGCACATCAGGATGTTCTTTATCATAGGAATAGCTGTACCTATTCAGTATACCCACATTTGCAGTTCTCCATACTTAGGAAAGGAAGAACTCAATCATTTAAATGCAGGAGCATCTGAAATTGACAGATTCTTGCATCCCTGCAATAATCTTTTTATTATCATTATTTGCTAAATAAATAATTATTTTAAAAGACTTTAGGGTTTGTCCCCCCTCCCTATAGATGCTTCAGGATGATAGTTTGATCATTTCACTTGTCCTTTTCTATCACTCTTCCACATCTGTAATATCCTTTCTTGCCAGAGCAGAACAGAGTGTTCCTGACACATTCATTAATAGAAGCCGGATTCCCTTGACCCCAGTGCCTTCCACATTTGTGTGATATAAACTCCCAGCAGCCCCAGCCATCAATAACAA